CACCCATGGTGTCAAAGCAAGCCAGAGGAAAATCATTTGGGCAAAAAAAGAAAAAAGATCCCAAGTCAAATTTATAGGAAATATTCCTTTATTAACTTTTGGTAGAGAATATGTTTGTATATTTTCAGAAAACAACTCCAAGACCATGTGGATTCCTGTAACAGAGAGGGATTGACAGGATTGCTCTAACCACGAAGATAGAAGACAAACAGTCCAGAGATGAAAGACGCTGACGACGCCTCGCCATAATAGCAGTCAACAGCTGTGTATCACTGCAGGTTGCCCAGGATTAAACCAGAGACAGTCGGACCTGCATCACCACCATTTGTCCACCATCCAGAACTGAAATATCATTGCTGACTGACATGTACACGTAAAGAACTGTTTGACATTGAAATTGGGACTCAAAAGAACTGTTGGCCCAGAAAGAAACAAACTACAGACTGATTCATTTGCCTCTCAGCATAACCGTTATGGCTTGTCTCAGTTTCGGTATTTCTTGAATCACATGATCTCATGCATCCAGGGGAAATAATGAACAACATAAATAGATGAACAAAAACAGACCCAGAGACAGAGAAGCATCGATCAAACTGTCAAACCTCAGAGGAAGATAGGGGAGGGTGGGGAAAAAGAGAGAGATCAACCAAAGGACTTGGGTGCGTGCATATAAGCCTAACCAGTGGTCATGGACAACAGGGGGGAGGGGGCATATGTGGGGAGGGGTTTGGGGTGAGAATGGGGAGGGGGGGTGATGAGGACAATTATGTGATACCATAATCAATAAAGAAATTTTTTAAAAAGATATCTCAATTGGAACTAGCCACACTTCATGTGTATTAGATGGCATAGTTATTCAGAAAAGACCTATTTTTTAGAAATTTGAAAAGAATATGACATTTTCAGGTACAGTACAAATTAAAATAGTAGAGAGGCTTAAAAATGTTCACAGGTTAAAGGTAAAGACTAAACATACAAGTACAGATACTTGATGGGGACTGTGGAGAACAGGATTAATAGCACAAGCAGTTAATTTTAGTGTGAGCAAGAAGGCAAGACCTTAGAAGGTTGTAAATATAGGAATTACATTATCTAACTTGTGTTTAAATAAGACCACTTTGCTGCTAAGTTGAAAACAGGCTACAGGATAAAGAGGATTAGCACACCTTCCTTGTGACAAGTGGAAAAGGAAAAATTTAGTACAATTATAAACAAGTTCAGTGAACGTGTGATGAGAAAACAGAAAGTTGAGACAGTTTAGGTTAAGAGCTTTCCTTTTTCTCAGTGAATCAGAAGACAATTTTATCAGCCCTTACACCACTGCCAAAACAAATATGAAAAAATTTAAGAAACAGCATCTTACTATAACAACGTTCAGTTGTATTTTTGTAAAATTACAGCCATTTTCTAGCTTTCTTCTGAACTGGTCACTCTTGGATTTTGTCACTGTATCTCTGAACACAGAAGCAACACCATGGGATTCATTCTTTCTTGGCCTATTTATTGAGCAAACATGAACCCAATGTCTGCTCTATGTCAAGTACTGTGGAAGACACTGAGCATAAAAAGACGAATTAAGGCGCTCACTGACCTACATTTGTATCCTCAGTATATTTAGCCCATTATAATGTTTGCACACAGGATGTGCTTTAAAAACATAGCATTACATTGCCCTGTAAATATTACAAATCAACTAAAATATTTATTGAAAAAGACTTTCAGTTAGAAGTCTACAGTACTGTCCAGTAGAATTTTCTGTGATAATGATAATGTTCTACTCTGATCTGTCCAATATGGTAGGTAATAGTCACACAAACTTTTAATTTAATTAAAATTTTAATAACAAATATGGTTAATAATTACTATACAAATTTAATTAGTAGCTAATGACACTTCCACTATTTTAATGAAAATGTTGTCATCCTATCTCTGAGTTAATACACATATGCTGCTAGAAATGAGTACACTATGGATAATACTAAGTGTACTAAAAAGACATAAAAATTGTTTCTTAGTGTAAAATAACTTCATTATGAGTCACAAAAGAGAAAGGGATCCCTAGCCAGTGTGGCTCAGTTGGTTGGAGTGCTGTCCCATAAACTGAAGGGTCATGGGTTTGAGTCCTGGTCAGGGCACACAGTTAGGTTGCGGGTCAATCCCGGGTCAGGTCAAACCATTTGTTTCTCTCTCTCAACGATGTTTTCCGCACTCTCTCTGAAAAAAGGGAAATGATATTCTTTCCACTCTATTTCTCTAACAGAAAACATCAAGCTTCTGATAAACTCCTGATTTTCCTCATCAACTCTAGTTAATGAAAATACTTTGTGGAGATACGGAGTCAAGCATTCCTTTAATTAAGGAGAAAGTACTAGAGCATAATATTTATTTCTATAATAAAATGACTATAAACTTTTTGGGCAAGAAAAGTTGTTGAAAATCAGGTTTCATATAATGAATAAAGTGTGTTTAGAACTCCAAAAACCTACCCTTAGTTTGCATATTAATTTTCCCAATTTTATTCTACTTATATCAATTTTTAAAGTAAGTCTCTTCCTAAAAGACATGGATGACTCAACCCATTGTAGTATAATCTAACTGAAGTATAATCTAAACTAGACTTTGAGTAATTCCTGGTAGAGTAAGTAAAATAACTGCTTATGACTGGGATAGTAAAATATGCTTTCATTACTACCCTTAATGTATAATTTGAGTGACTGTACAAAGTTAATCAAAGGTACAAAGTCCTAAATTGGCACAGGTCTGATTACATACTTAGAAGATCTGATAACTTAAAAATAAAACCGACGAGCAGAGACAGCATTTTTTTTTTTTTTACGCACAGCAACCTGTCCGACTTGTTGTCTTAGAAATTAGCCACACAACTTCCCGCCCTTCCTTTAGGTTGCATTCACTTGAAGTCATTTTTAAAAAAACATGACCAAGCCGAAATCGGTTTGGCTCAGTGGTAGAGCGTCGGTCTGCGGACTGAAAGGTCCCGGGTTCGATTCCGGTCAAGGGCATGTACGTTGGTTTCAGGCACATCCCCGGTGGGGGGTGTGCAGGAGGCAGCTGGTCGGTGCTTCTCTCTCATCGACGTTTCTAGCTCTCTCTCTCCCTTCCTCTCTGAAAAAAAATCAATAAAAAATATCTTTAAAAAAAACACAAAAAAAAAACATGATCAAATTGTCTGTCTTGAACATGAGAGGTTACACAGCAGGATTTTATTCAGATTAACAAAAATACCTAACACCGAGAAGTAGTGTCTTCATCTACAGGAAAAGCTTTCAGAGAACCACTTCAGAAGGATCTTCCTACCACACAAAAACACCATCAGGCAAATAACCTTTCCATACAAGGAAGGCTGGCAAATCAAAAGCATGAGATCAGACCTGTAATAATTAACTTCAGGAAAAAAAATAATTAACTTCGAGTCAAGCTACTGTGTTGCGGCTTACTGCAACCAAGTCTCACCACAACATGGTGTTATAATGACACCAGAGGCCCGATGCACGAAATTAATTCGTGCAAGGGGCTAGGCCCTTGCAGCCCTGGCTTCCTTTGGAAGGTCGGTTGGCTGTCTGGTCTAATTAGCATATTATGCTTTTATTATTACAGAAGATCATTAGCTTGATTTCCTAATAAGGCATATATCTGAATTCACAACTAACTAAAAATAGCCCAACATTTGTTCGAGGGCGTGGCAGGCAGTTCTAGTGTCATATAATTAGATTTTTTAAATTTCATTTTTAGAATGGTGCCCACTGCAACATAAAGGCTGGCTCTGACCCGGCATACTTGGCAGTCTTAACGTCAAATTGCTGTTCTAGGGACAGTTGGGAAAGAGACTTCCTAACGCTTTCGTCTCAAAAAAATAAAATAAAATAAAATAAAATAAAATAAAATAAAATAAAATAAAATAAAATAAAATAAAATAAAATAAAATAAAATAAAATAAAATAAAATAAAATAAAATAAAATAAAAATCGGTTTGGCTCCGCTGCCTTTTGAATGAACGCCCGGAACCCCTGAGCTTTGGAGCCTTTAACCAAAGCCATTTGGAAACGAAGCAGCAGCCGGGCACAGACCCTCCTCCTCACCCAGACGAGGTTAGGTTTCCTCCGCCAGCAGCAACTTTCGCCCCACATTCTCCCTGCTGCCCTCGCACTACGTTTGCCAAGAGGCAGGAAAAGATGTCTGTCTGTCTGTCTGTCTGTCTGTCTGTCTGTCTGTCTCTGAATTAATTCTAAGAACGCGGCGCTTTTCTAAATGCCACACATCATCCGCGTCTACAGATTTCATCTCTCTCCCCCCAGAGATGTTCCACTGGCTCCAACGCCATTTCACTCAAACTGCCTTCGGGAGGACGGACAAAAAGGAAAATAAATAAATAATAAATAAAAACAAGGTCGACATTCCTAAAGTTTCACCTGGGGTGGCGTGAGGACAAGGTTCGGGGCACGCAGTCCTACCCAGCTCCCATGCAAACCTCTTCCGAAACTAAAAGGGGTGCCGGGATGTCCTCCGCCCCTCACCCAGGCTTTGGGGGACCCTCCTCCCGCGGGGAGTGAGGCGTCAGCCCAGGACGGGAACGCCGCCCCGGCTCTCGCAGTCCCTGCAAACGGGGACGAGAGAGGCTGCAGCCCCGTCCTCCCCTCCGACGCGGAGGCAGGAAGCGCCGGTCTCTCTGCACTTTCCGTGCCCTCACCAGCGGCCTCCGGAGCCCCGCGTCGGGCCGCGGCCGCCGAGGAGCGGCGAGGAGGAGGAGGAGGAGGAGGAGGAGGAGGAGGAGGAAGAGGAGGAAGGAGTCGCCGAGAAGCGCAGCCAGGACACGGCCGCCTCCCCGCGAGCCGGCGACCCGGGCTGGAGGGGAGGGGAGGCGAGCGCTCCGGCTCCGACCCCGGCCCCGCGGCCCCGCTCCCGCCTCCGCCGCGGCCTAAGCCGGACGCCCCAGGCCGGCCCCGCGCCCCGGCCCTGCCCCGCGGGAGGTCGGAGGTACCTACCAGCTGCTGCCGGACCCAGCGCCACATGCCCCCGCCGTCGCCGCCCCGGTCCCGCGGGACGCGGGGGCAGCGGGCAGCAGGTGGAGGCCCACGAGCCCGAGGAGGAAGTGCGAGAGCCCCTCCGGCTGAAGTTGCGCTCGCCGCTCCCGCCGCCGCCGCCGCCGCCGCCCCCGCCTCACTCCCCGCGCCGCCGGGCCCCCATCTCCCCGCGCCGGCCCCCACCGAGGTCTCACAGGCGCGGCCCCGGCGCCACCCCCACCCGGCGCTGCGGAGCCGGGCGCCTCGCCGCAGCCACCTTCATTATGGACCGTTGTCACCCAAAGCACCGCCACAACCCCACCCCCGCCCGGCCCGGCCTCCCCCCGCCCCCCCACCGGCGTCCCGGCCCCACCCGGGCCCGTCCCCGGCGTCCCGGCCCGCCCCCCGGACGTGACGTCAGGGACTGGGGGGCCCAGGGGCGGGGTGCGCTCCGCCGGCCTCTAGAACGGGGCTCAGCCGTGTGGGCGGGGCTCAGCCGTGTGGGCGGGGCCATCTGATGAAAGGGGCGGGGCTATAGGACGCGGTGTCTACGCTCCGCCCCATCTCGGGGGTAGGTAGGGGGGGTGGGGGGATGAAGTCGCCTCTGATTGGCTGCCTGTGGAGCCTGGGGTTTCTGACTGACTCCTTTATTTCTACCTCCTGTTGCAGGTGGGTTTCTGCCCTGGCTTTCTGGGTACACCCCCTCTTCCCCCGCATCCCGCACCAGTCCCCCACACGCATAGGCAACAATCTGGAGAGTGGGGACTGAAGGTTATAATCCCCAGAGGTCTCTGCTTTGGGCAAGCCCTCTTTAACAACTGAGTTGGGGTATCGCTCCCTTTTATTTTATTTATTTATTTTTTAAAATATATTTTATTGATTTTTTACAGAGAGGAAGGGAGATAGTTAGAAACATCAATCAGCTGCCTCCTGCACACCCCCTACTGGGGATGTGCCTGCAATCAGGGCACATGCCCTTTACCGGAATCGAAAGCAGGATCCTTTAGTCCGAACTAAGCCAACCCGGTTTTGACTATAGTGTTTTTAAAGGTCTCAGACCTTCTCTTTTAATTATTGAAAAAGTAGTCCTACCAGCTTCTTACTATCTATATGGAATGTACTGTAGTTCTCAGTTTAGTGCTTCTCTGAGTGAACAGAACTTTTTTCAGAAGTGAGATATGCATAGAGTAATTTTGTTCCCTGTTTTGATTGATCTACCGTACTTCTAGTTTAATATCTAAGTTCTAATTCTTCTGTTTATATTTGGCTAGCTCCTTTCTTTATAGGTAATGGATACCACTAGGGGATTCTCCCATTGTGGTTTCTTGGCATATGTTACCCTAGGCAGGTGGTAGGGACCTAATCTTCAGAATTTCTTGAGGATTCAGACAATTACAGCAACAGATATTTCACAAATGTTGTGGTTCAGATGAAAAGTAATTAATAAAAATACATTGCTTTGAAATAATTATCCATAGATCTAATTAACAGAAATATTTTTTTCTAATGTTAAATATATAATTGCTTGGAGGGGATGGGGAACAACTTGAAATGAATCAGAAAACACCTTCAAATTACTCATTCTTTTCATATACTTCAAATTTGTACTTAATGCCTTTTTCCTCCTGGACGTCAGAAACAACACCTGGGTACTCTGGGAGAAGTTTGTATTTCTCCAAATCATTTTCTGGAAAAAAAAAAAAAAAATGTATCACTTTTCGAATTCCTGCATGATCCTTGTCACAAAAAGTCGTTGATGGCTGGCCTTGTCCTTATAAACGGAACTGCCTCCCACTATCCAAACCATATCCACTTTATTTGTTAATTCTGGTTCCTCAATAAAGTTTTAAGGCTTCATCCAGACTTTTAGCGAGAAAATGAGCTCCTTTTGGAGGTTCTTTGAGTTCTCTACTGAGAACTAAATTAATCCTGTCCTTTAAAGGCCGACTCTTCTCGGGAATGGAGAACCAGGTCTTCCTACCCATAATCACCAAGTTCTGTTTACCTTCTGCCGCCGTCGTGGTGGTCATTCTTTGGAAATACTTGAATTCATTCCTGAGCGGGGGGCAAAGGCAGGTCCCCATTCTTGCCGATGCCCATGTTCTGGGACACTGCGACGATGCTGTTCGGTATTGCTCCCTTTTAATTAATCTTGATTGCTCCCTTTTAAGTAATTTTGGAAGGAAGGCAGATCTTCTGTGCCTGGTTCACTCTGGGCCAGTGTTTCCAGGAGGATGGACGAGACACTGTTTTTGCAGGGTTAAATTGAACAGGTTAGGGTGAAGAGTGTACTCTGTGGAAAGTTTGTTGTTTTCTGTTCATTGCCAAACTCCTGCAATCAAAAACACCCTAAATGTAGCAAGACCCAGGTAAGATAAGGGTGGACAAAGACAAGGAGGAATATAAAAATAACTGGACAGCCGAGACCGGTTTGGCTCAATGGATAGAGCGTCGGCTTGGGGACTGAAGGGACCCGGGTTCGATTCCGGTCAAGGGCATGTACCTTGGTTTCGGGCACATCCCCGGTAGGGAGTGTGCAAGAGGCAGCTGATCGATGACTCTCTCTCATCGATGTTTCTCGCTTTCTATCTCTCTCCCTTCCTCTCTGTACAAAATCAATAAAATATATTTTATAAATAAATAAACAAATAAATAAAAATAACTGGACAAGACTTTGATTTGGAAGGCTGAAATGAAGCGTCAGGTCTCCCTTTGTTCAAATCCCCGTGAACATCTTAAGTGTTATGTATAAGTATTGTGTGCAATAATTTTGCTGAGTTGAAGCGCACTTCTTTTAACACAGGCACTTGTGGTTTTTTAAAAAACGACATTTTATAATGTGAAAAAGAAATCTAAATGAGATTAGTATGACTGGGTAAGCTATTGCACATATGTGTTGTTTTAGTTTATATAGACATTTCTTATTATATAATACTTATTCAGCACCATAAATAGAGCCTTTCCTCAGGGATATTTATGACATCTAAAACCAATAGTGGAATTGTATATAATAAATAAGCCAATCACAAAAATTAGCTAGCTCAGCGATTTTTAAAAAATATATATTTTATTGATTTTTTACAGATAGGAAGAGAGAAGAATAGAGAGTTAGAAACATCGATGAGAGAGAATCATCAATCAGCTGCCTTTTGCACACCCCCTACTGGGGATGTGCCTGCAACCAAAGTACATGCCCTTGACCAGAATCGAACCTGGGACCTTTCAGTCTATAAGCAGATGCTCTACCACTGAGCCAAACCTGTTTCAGCTAGCTCAGCGATTTTCAACTGTTGTGACACAGAGACACACTGGTATGCCATAAGAATTTTTAAAATATGCAATACCTGACTATTAGTCAGGACACTGACCTCTTTTAGATTGACAAATAAAAAAATGACAACAGGCAATACAATAACCATCCCATGTGAATGAATCAAAATTATACCATTTTTTGTTAGATCCACAAAAAATATATATTGTTTGGTGGGGCACAGAATTTAATAATTAGTTTGTGTGTCGTTAGATGAAAAAGGTTGGAAATCGCTGAGCTAAAGGCTCTGTCCAGATAGCTCAGTTGGTTAGAGCACTACCTGGGTAGTCTGGGTAAGATAAGGTTGCTCCATCTCTGGTGGGGGCAAAACAATACAGGAAGCAACCAAATGAGTGCAAAAGTAAGTGGAACAGCAGATGGATGATTCACTCCCTCTATCTAAAATCAGTCAATAAAATTTTAAAAAAGAAAGAAAAGTCGCTGAGCTACATATTTAAAGAGAAAAACTAATCTTACTTTTGTTATTATTGAGCCTTGCTTTATGAACGTAAAGGAAGTTTGAGATACATTTATTTGTTATAGTGATAAGCCATTTATGGAACACTTGTGTGTCCTAGGCTCTGTCCTAACCTCTGTTCTTACACGATCTACTTTAACCCTCAGAATTCTTTGAAGTTGGTATTATTATTATTCCCATTGTATGGATGTGAAAATAAAGGCTCAGGGTAAGTAACTTGGCAAAACTGGGATTCAGATTCTGTATGATGAGGCAATAAGGCTCATGCAAGTTCCTAAGATATGTAAAGACATGGAAGTATGACTATACCTGCTTTTATTCATCTGCAAGTGGTCTAATTAAAATTAATCCTGAAATGTTTATTTATATGCCACTAAAATTTGTCAAGACAGCGTAAGAAAGAGAAATCTAGATGATACTTTGTTTTATTTTACGGTGTCCCAAATTTCAAAAAGTAGAAGTGGGAGGAGGAATTGATTCTAACTGCTATGATAGAATATGGTAAGAAGTGAACTCAAGATAACCCTAAAGATAATAATTGTAACTCAAACTGTCAGGAACAGAATGAGAATTCAAAGTACTATTTTGTTGTAAGCATTTTTCAAAAACAATTTTATACACTTCATTTGAATTCAAGGAACATAAAGTATTTTATATGTAGATTATAATCCTTTAGTCATGGGTAAATCAATTTAGTGTGTCATGATTGGTATTTTTTAAAAAAATAGAATAAAAAGATCAGGGTATATCACACACAGCTATTTCTTAAATGTATTAACCACCAAATGTTTGCATACAAACTGCCTAAAACTAGGAGGAGACACAAATGCAACTTTTAAGGTGAGCACCTTCACTCTGAGTGCAGTTTATAATCTAGTTGGAAAGAGAAGATGCTGATAGGAATCAGTTAAATAACAATCCAAGTCAATATGGGATTAAGTCCTAAAGAAATGTACAATAACGGTCACTAATTTCAGAAATGTGATGTGCACAGTAGTAATTGGGGAGAGTTCAGAAGAAAGGAACTGAATTGAAACGGAACTTAAAATGGGAGGGAGAATGGGAGGGGTGCTTTCCAGCAGGATGAACTGCAGGAAGAAATACTTTTCAGAGTGAAGAATATTCAGGGTATTTGAGGAACAACTGCTAATTTGGAGAAAATAAGAGGTGGGGTTTGGTTAAGTATGATGAGGCATAGTATTGGGAGAGTTTCTGGCTAGT